TAAACTCCAACAATGAAACTAACTTATTTGGTCCCTTTTGGGGGACCAATATCCTCATCAGGCCTGAATCTACCAAGTAGATGTCGAAATTAAAAAAAACAAAAAAAAAAACCAAACTACAATTTCCGAAAAAAATATAGCAGAATAAAAACATCCATTCTTCTAAAGGACACCAAGTTCCACATTAATATATTTCAGTAATCTTTTCCCACAGCCTTGATAACACCACCTGTTCTTACAACTATTACTGCAGGCCAGATGGTGTTGCCTCTGTGGTCACGACAGGTGTTCTTTAATCTGAGGGACATGTAGTCACCTACAGCCCAAGTACTGGAGCTTAGGGGGAAAAAGAGCAGAAAGCTGAGATTATGAAATTGTTTAAAAAATCCAAATGAAAAGTATCAACTGACTGTGCAGCTAAAATCATTTGTAAAATGTCTTTTTTTTTTTTTTTTTAACTTTTAACCACTTCCAGTCCAGACACTTTTACCCCCTTCCTGTCCAGGGCAATTTTCAGCTTTTAGCGCTATCACACTTTGAATGACAATTGCGCGGTCATGCAACACTGTACCCAAATGAATTTTTTACCATTTTTTTTTAGATAGATAAAGCTTTATTTTGGTGGTATTTATTCACCACTGGGATTTGTATTTTTTTTGCTATGTAAATGAAATGCCCAAAAATTTTTTAAAAAAGTGTTTTTTTTTATAAAATTTTGCAAATAAATAATATTTCATCATAAATCTTAGCCAAAATTTATTCCGTTATTTAAAAAAAAAAAAAAAAAAATCCAAATTAGTTTATAAGCAAAAATTATAATTTTTAAACATTTTTTTTACATTTTTATTTTATTTATTTATATTATCATTTTTTATTTTTTTTTTTTTACATACTGTCACCCTAGCAGTACAGTGTCACCATGGTGACACTGTACTACTTGTGGGGGGTGATAAAGATTTTTTTTTTTTTTTTTACACTGATTGCTTTTACATCCTATATGGGTGTAAAAGCAATCATTTTCTCTCTCTCTCTCTCTCTCTCTGTGCATTCCTGCACTCATTGAGAAATACAGAGTGAGCTGTGATTGGTCACAGCTTGTCACATGGTACAAGGCTTTTGTGAATAGCCTTGTACCATGTGACCTCTGTGATCATTCACAGATTTCACACATAGTAAGCAATGATGTCACAAGTGACATATTGCTTACTACTTTGCATGTGATCACTGATTCGCCAATCAGTGATCACATGATCGGGACCTCGTACAGAGGTCCCGTCCGACGATCGGTGTTTCACTGTGTCCGGAGGACACAGCGGGCACCGGATCGTGGTGCTGCGCGCTCCCAGGGAGCGCGCACAAGCAGGATGCGGGGAGGCCGTTTATAGACGGCCACCCGACCCTGCAGTGCCACCGTCCGGCCGTTTATATACAACGGCCGGTCGGGAAGTGGTTAATAGTCAAGAGCGGGTTGGCTATCCTGCTTTAACCCCTAAAGACATATACAGTATTGACAAACAAAAACACTCCGTGTAGTGCTTAGGCAAATAACAATGATGAAAAATACTATCCCCACCAAAGTGTAATAATTATGTGCCAATATTATATATTAGTCTGTATAAAAGTCCACATGGTCTAGTAGTAATGGTGCTTAGTAAGCCAGAGACCAAAAGGAGAGAGAGAATCCGTCACCTTTCCCTTAGCCTCTTACTGGAAAATTCGACCACCCAAAGGATTGGTCAAATAACACAGATATCAAGCTCAGCAGATGTGTCATGGACTCCCAAATAAATCCACCAAGAGATCCGTATCATGAACAGACTTTCCTCTTAGCAATGAGGTCTAGAATGGCAAATACCTCTCCACATAGTAAACACCACGAGGAAAAAAATAAAAGCTCATAGTGCAGTAGTTAAAACCAAAAATACAAATTATTCAAGTAATGCACTTACAATCACCCACCCTATTCCACCCTACGTATTTCGCCACCGCACACCGCCACGGACCACAGCCATTTTTTTGGAAGGAAACATTATACGGACATACTGGTTTTTTACCTCTGTGATTGTAAGTGCATTACTTGAATAAATTGTATCTTTCATTTTAACTACTGCACTATGAGCGGTTATTTTTTCCTTATGTGGTGTTTACTGCATAGAGAGGCATTTGCCATTCTAGACCTCATTTCTTAGAGGAAAGTCTGTACATCATCCGGAACTCTTGGAAGATTTATTTGGGAGTCCACGACACATCTGGTGGGCTTGATATCTGTGTTATTTGACCAATCGTTTGGGTGGTCAAATTTCCCGGTAAGAGGCTAAGTGATTGGGTGAAAGGTGAGACTCTTTCTCTCCTTTTGGCATCTGGCTCACTAAGCACCATTACTACTAGACCATGTGGACTTTTATTTAATGTAAAATATTGGCACATAATTATTCCACTTTGGTGGGGATTTGGATAGTATTATTCATGGTTATTAATTATTTGCTTAAGCGCTACACCAAGTTTTTTTGTTTGTTAATTTCTGCCTATTTATTGTGTTAGCTGCTCTTTTTATCTGACTTGTAAATACCCAAGTGTAGGTTTTCTGTTTAATTACATATACAGTATTGCATTAAATATTATACAGTTTTGGAAAGCCTAAATGAAATTATACAATTTGTAAAGTGTATTGCCAGCTTTAGCCCTTTCACTGCTGACATCCAGTATGTCATACGTTGGCAGCAGATTTTATACACACTCCATGTGTGTAAATCTGACAAGAGGGCTGTCAGATGGAAGTGATCAGCTGCCCAATCGTGTTCACACACCCCAGCAACAGTCGATCACCTAATGTTTGCTCCTGCTATGTTACCCGAGCTCCATGCTCCCATCAGCGGAAAAAGAAACTGGCATGGTGGTTGCCCCTAGGTAGGGAAGGGGGGGGGGGGGGGGCAGAGATCGTCCATTCGCTGACCACCTCCTTCCTGGAAGCAACATGTAAAACAGTCATTCTGGGTTCTCCTGTCACTTTCCCTGACCGCTATGGCCAGTGAAGAAGCTAATGGAGAAATTTGTACTGTAATAGCTTCAATAAAGGGCAAGTGAGACATCAGGGGTCTAAAAGACTCTTGACGTTTTAATAAAAAGAACCAGTTCCAAAAAACATCATATAAAGGGTCTTTTTGCCCCTTAAATAATGAAAAGCAAAGTTTACTGAAAAAAAAAATAAAAGCAAAAATTTTAGGTTACATCAAAGCATTTAAGATCCACCCCAAAAAATATACTACCTTTAGACAGATCTCCGTGCTCCTTCGCCAGACCAGCTGCAGAAGGTTCTGTTTGCCGTTGGCAACATTTAGAAGATCTATCTTCATGCGGTCGTAGATGTACAGCAGGTAGTGTGTGTCCATCTGGGCGTACTTGATCATCTCCTCTGGTAATGGGCTGTTGGCAAGACAAAGCTTGTTAGATTGGCTGCATTCTCTTGTACCTGGTACACATGCTGGTTGGTGACTCACCGGATCCTCCAATCGGCCAGTTGGTACTTCTTATCAGACTCAATGCTGCAGTAATGTTTGAGGAGGTGATCTAGAGAATTTCTACCAAGTTTCAGCAAGCGAGATGCTTGGTGGGTGTCAAACATGTTCACAATGTACAAGCCAAAGTCTTTTTGTAGCCACTCAATATCAGAATCTGCACCATGCAGGACCTGGAAGGAGAAACAAAATGATTAGTATCAGACAGGTACAATTACACAGGAGCGTACACACAGGTCAAAGACAGCAATATTTACAGAAAAAGATACAGGAATATTTGCTGATGGCAGGAAAAGGTAATCCATAAAGCTTACAAATTCAGTTCCCATAGCTGCAGTACTACATAATGCCCAGAAAAAAGTAATAATAAAAATGTTACCTAAACCAATGAGATGTATGACTCTGTACAAGCGCTTGTTACCAAACACACAATGATATCACAAGTCTGACATGCCATTGTTATAACTGGAATCTAGGAGTTGAGCAGCTGAGGAACAATATACATTGCTAACACATCAAGACCCCCAGCATAACCACTGAACCGAAGTCCAAACCATTCCACAACCAAGATTCGTTCAGTCCCACCAAATTAAATGCCCAGTCACACCGCTGCGATTGAAATCGTATCTAATAAATGTGAATGTCAGTGTCTTAACACGTGCGATTTGCTGCAGTGTGATTTCTAAAGTAGTTCTTGCATTACTTTTTCTGCAGTTTTGTTGTGATTTCACATAGATAGAATATAATGGAAATTGCACTGCAAATTGCAAGAAACCCTCTTCACAAGTAGTAATAAAGTTATCAGAAATCGTACCTGAAATCGCAGCGGTGTAACCGGTGACTTAGGCTAGAGACGGGCATTAATGTTCCACTTCAAGCGTTTAGGTCCGGGGGTGTGCAAACTGTGGCTCTCCAGCTGTTGTGGAACTACATTTCCCATGAGGCATTGCAACATTACAAAACTCTCAGTTACAGCTATGACTTGCAGAGGCATAATGGAACTTGTAGTCCTGCAACAGCTGGAGAGCCGCAGTTTGCCCCACCCCTGTGGTTTACAATAGTTCAAACTACTGACCTTGACTATGGAGGGATCTGTGAAACTCTCATTGAGGATATAAAGGTCACCACGTAAATCGAGGGTATCGATAATAAAATCCTCAGTGCGGGTAGAGATCTGCATGAGGCAGGTGAGGCCCAAGAAGCTTCTGTACGAATGGTGCTACAAGAGGAAAAGAACAATTATTAACGAACATACAACAAACACCAAAGATTCTGGACCTTAACCTGTTAACACCCATGCAATGCTTATGTGCAGCAGCAAAGGAGGTGGGCTTTAATGCCCACATGCTACACATGAGTCGATGGGCAGCCAAGGTTTCTGTACTGAAAGCATACTCAAAGCACAGTGACCAAGCAGTGAAAGACTTGGCCAAGGTTTCGGTCTCTAGTAATGGTTGGAAGTCGGCGGCATCGGCTCCTGATCATGTAACCACTGTGGCAGCCAAAGTGGTCACATGATCAGGGTTTTATTTATTTATTTATTACAGGTACTTATATAGCGCCGTCAATTTACGCAGCGCTTTTACATACATACACATATTATATCTATCTATATATCTATATCTATCTATCTATATCTATCTATCTCTATATCTCTCTATCTATCTATCTATCTATATATATATATATAAAATATATGGAAACAATTCATACTAGGGCCAATCTAGACAGGCGTACCTGGAGGAAACCCACGCAGGCACAGGGAGAACATTTAATAGTAACTGATAAGAATTATGTTTGCACTGCCCATGATAACTAGAAAACCCCCAAAAACCTCAGACTAGAATCTAATTCTTTAGGGTAGCTCATATTTTTCTATTTCTACAGATAATATAATACAGTTCCAGTATTGGATGGTGTCTCACCTCCAGATCCAAAGCAAACTCTGAGCATTTTAACAGCTTCTCATTCAGCACTACAAGCTCGTCCAGTGTAGTTATAAAATGAAAGGGGACGTCGGTCAAAGGTAGGAATGGCTGGTAAAGACAAAAGCAACATATTTGTATTACTGCTATATTGTCTGCGCATTATAAAGTCATAACATTAGGAAAATGACTGGTCGTAGCATCCATTCAACCTTCACAATATTTTTATACTGACTGGTTATCTTTAGGAATCACAAATGTGGCCTGACAAGTCTGAAGTATCAAACAATGAAACAGAATGCCAAATCTGAAAATTGATTCTGAACAAGGTCAAGGAAGCATGCTTACGATCACATGGGTAATGGCAGGTCTTTACAAGTAACATGTAGAGGAGGCATTAAGGAAATCGATCATACAGTGCCTTGAAAAATTATTTGTACCCCTTGAAATTTTCCACATTTTCTCATGTTACAACCAAAAAGGTAAATGTATTTTATTGGGACTTTATGTGATAGACCAACACAAAGTGGCACATAATTCTGAAGTGGAAGGAAAATGATAAATTGTTTTCAAACTTTTTTACAAATAAATATCTGAAAAGTGTGGCGTGCATTTGTATTCAGCCCCCATTACTCTGATACCCCTAAAATCTAGTGGAACCAATTGCCTTCAGAAGTCACCTAACTAGCAAATAGAGTCCAGCTGTGTGTAATGTAATCTCAGTATAACTACAGCTGTTCTCTGGAGCCCCCAGAAGTCTGTTAGAGAACATTAGTGAACAAACAGCATCATGAAGGCCTATTCTCATCACACACATTTTGGGAGATGGTAAAAAATAATTAGCATGTGCTGCAGCAACTTCCACCTGGTAACATTATAAGCAAGAGTATATATTGCCAATACACCATGGCAGCCATCTGCCCATAGCTCAGGTAGGAGGGTATGCTTAGCTGAGAAAGCCCCACCTTCGCTCCACAGGACTCCTGGAATATATTACATCATTTGCCTAGGCATGGAAACCAGGAAGTAACTGAAGAAATGTTTAAAGTAGCATAAGTGTTGATTGAGAGAATGAAGTCCCGCTTTAAGGATAACATTCAATTTATGCAGCTCTTTGATGAGCAGTCAGACTTCAAAACTCACCTGTATATCTGGCATTTCCATAGATTGCTCCAGAGTATTAAAGTGATCCAATTCATATTGATAAGGGTGAGCCATCCTGAAACACAGCAATGAAGTAAGAGAAGACTCTAATAAATAAATGAGAAAATGATTACTAATAGGATGGCTGACCAGCCAATAAATCCATCATTACAGCAGTACCACTGGTACCCAAACACACTCAATGGTGGGAGTACAAGTGTGTGTATACTGAATCTCTCTCTGTGGTCTGCATAAGGAGTCACTCTCTGTGGTGTGTGTATCATTTGAATGTAAAAGCTACCTAAATGACTAAATATGACAATGAATTGCCCCCTCTCCTTTGCAATGGTTTCCCATTGCAAAGGAGAGGGGGCAATTCGTTGTCATATTTAGTCATTTAGGTAGCTTTTCCATTCAAATGATACACACAAACAATATGCATTCCATCCCTGATGTCATAAATAAAAAAAAAGGGTATATAAATAATAAAAAGGGGTGTCTGTTCCCACTCCTCCCATAATATAATGCTGTTCTAGCAAACTATTTTTCCTTTCCAGAACAGAAAAAAACCCTGCATCATGAAAAAGAGACTTTTTAAAAAGGGTTATAATATGCAGAAGATATTCACAAGTGTGTGGCTGCACGTCCTTATTTCTGCCTATGCAGCGACAACACTACACAAGCAGGCCAAAAAAAGTTAACAACCCTCCTCCTTCCTCCCGCTTTGAGCATAGTGGGGAGAGGTCGGAGAATGCAGCTCCAGTCCTCCTGATCTCTGTGCTGTCTGTCATAGAAACAATAGAACAGACTACTGATCACTCCCAATTCACAAAGGGGCTTGTGCCCCCTTTTGTTGGGCGCAACATCTTCTCTATTTTCTGTGTTTTTATGCTTGTACTACTTTTCATTAATTCCTCCTGTGTGTTATTAGATTTTTTTTTTTTTTCTGCATCTTACACGTTATCTTCATTCTGTTGCATTCGCTGCTGGTGGATAAAATCTGCCAGGGCTGCCGGGATGTCCAGGTCTTCAGGTCGCTGTTCCCGTTTATTCCTAAGAACTGGGGAAGAGCAGAGCACAGTCACCCCTATTATACGGATGAGTAGAGGTGTGGACAGGCTGCAATCTCATGTACAGAGAATTTGAGGGTTTAAAAAAGCATATTACAGCTCCGAAAAGGTAAATAATAAAACACAAAGCACAGGAATTTAAAAATCCATCTCAGGAAAAAACAGAGACAGGTTAAAAACATTTACAATGTATTGCATACAAAGCATTCCAGTAAAGGATGTACATTTTAAAAGAAAGGTATGGAAACTGCTTTTCTTTTTGAAGGGACAGAGATCTCTATTTACATGCACCTCTCTCTCTATTTACACGCACTATTTACCCACTCTCTCTCTATTTGCACGCACCCCACTCTCTATTTTGCACACCACCCCACTCTCTATTTGCACGCACGCACGCCCCCACTCTCTATTTACACGCACCCCACTCTCTATTTACACGCACCCCACTCTCTATTTACACGCACCCCCTCTCTCTCTATTTACACGCACCCCTCTCTCTATTTACACGCACTATTTTTACACCCTCTCTCTCTATTTACACGCACCCCTCTCTCTCTATTTACACGCACCCCACTCTCTATTTACACCACACCCCACTCTACCCCACTTACACGCACCCCACTCTCTCTCTCTATTTACACGCACCTCTCTCTCTCTATTTACACGCACCTCTCTCTCTATTTCCATGCACCTATTGGACAGAACCATCCACTGTCAAGCTCTCTTTCACTCTTTGTGCCCTTACCCCTGGGGTGGCTCCGGTTGACATTATGGGGTTCTTACATTTTTGGGGTGTTTTTCCTCCTGAACTTCTACTGTTGATGGAGCCTGGGGTACCATTATACAAGTTCACAACAGCTCCTGAAGAAGCTAAAACTGCGAAAAATGTTGAGATTTTACAGCGGTCAACGTTCCACTGAACCAGAGTTAACAATATGTTAATTCATGTATTACTTTGATTACTTTGTATGGCTGGATACAGTGGACCAATAGCTGTCTGGTATAACTTAAAATGTACATCCTTTACTGAAATGATTTTTGACTTTTTTTTTTTTTACGCAATAAAATGTAAATGTCTGTTATTTCCTGAGATGGCTTAGCACGGGAATCCTCGCTGACAGCAGAGATGAGTCCCTGGTTGTTAGGACACCAGCGTGTTCTGGCTCCTAAACAACCAATGCCAAAACGGACCGTTTTTCCGTTTACATCCGTTAATCCTCTGTTCCGTTTTTTTTTTTTAACGGAACAAAAATAAGGGCTTCGATCCGTTTAAAGTGGTAGTAAACTCTCTATGCTAATTTTTACCTACAGGTAAGCTTATAATAAAGCCTACCAATAGGTAAAATGAATATCTTCTAAACGAGTTTAGGAGATATTCCAGCTGGCAGCAGCCGGTGACGTAACCGGCGCATGCGCTCTGCAGGTACAGCATACCATGCCATTCTATCAGTTATCTGTGCCCGGGAGTGACATCATCGCGATTTGGCCAGTCAGACAGCCTGAGCCTACAAAACCCGGAAGGAAGACTGGGTGAAGTTGGAAGCCCTGTCAGTAGTGCCAGTGCGCAGCTGGAGGGCTTTGTTTTAAGGGACATATTTCATAATGAGCTAGTATGCGATGCAAACTAGCACATTATGATATTACCTTGCAGGGGGAAACTTTTTTTTTTTTTTAGGGTTTACCACCGCCGTCCACGGATGTGAGCAGACGTGGATATAAACGGATGATCATCCGATTGTCCATAAGAATGCATTGCTGTCCGTTTTTCATCTATCAATAGACATACAAAACGCCCGTGTGAAAGGAGCCTTAGAAGTCTAAAGTACCTGTCCAGCCAAAACATTTTTCTTGGTTTGTAATAAAGTGTGTAAAGGGTTATAACTCCTGTCAATTTTTTTTTTTTTTTCACAATTCTTTATTTAAAGCAGAGCTCCATGCAAAAGGGGAAGTTCCGCTTTAAAGACTACTCCCCCACTCCCCATTAAGGATTGGCATCTTTGAGGAACGGGAACCTGAAATTGACAGGTACACACTCCCACTTCCGCTGCGATCGCCTAGGTGATCAGAAGCAAAAGTTGTCGTCCTCACCACCCCTCCTCCCCGTAGTCTTCTAGGGCATGTGACAGGTCCCAGAAGACTACGGGGCTATTCAAAAAGCAAAGCGCTACTCGCGCATGCGCAGTGGACACCCGGCTGTAAAGCGGGTGCCCACACTGAAAATGCTGGCACCGAGAACATCGGCCGGCTGGTGAAACTGTCTGCAGAGAGGACACTGCAGGATCGAGGGACAGGTGAGTGGATGTTTTTTAAAAGTCAGCAGCTACAGTTTTTGTAGCTGCTGATTATTTCCTTTTACAATGTGACTGGAACTTCGCTTTAACAAGTGCAATACAGAGGTCTTACATGACATTGGCAATGATGAAAACAAATTGGAAGTCCAATGTGTAGTGACAACGGCTGTTACATTTTAACAGGTAAACATCTCCTGTGAAGTTTTTATTGCTATTCAGGGCTTTGTTAAAAGATTTCAACTCATTTCCTTTTCTGCTGATGTGTTACCATAAAGGAAATGAGTTTAAATTTCCAACAGCAACACAGAACATACATATTTCTTTAGTACAGTAGGGGGAAGGCTAAAACCCCTGTGGATTTTATTTGTGTCCCTGCTGCTGATTTTCCCTTGCTTCCTCACTGGTAAAGTGGTTGTCAGCAGCACAGAAAGTGAAGGAAAATTTCTCTAACAGAGCCCCAGATAGCAGTAAAAACCTACCATTCCAATTGTCTTTCATTCCATCAAAACTTAGGAAAGTTTTTAAGCTGGATATACATTTTAAAACTTCTAGTTTGTCAACTCTGTGACACCCACAATCTGAATAAATATCAAATCTGATTGGGAATACAGCTTTTCCCAAGACAAAAGCACAGTTTATGTGGCCTTTTAGACCCTCTAATCATGTTATGTTAGGTAGGTGGGATCACTTCCCAGGCAGCAAATGTCATGGAGGAACGTGAACTGGTAGAGATAAATTCTCCAGTGCTATGGCAACTCCTTACTCTCTGGAAGCGGTTTCTGAGCATTGGGCTTAATAAATATTTTTGGGACGAAAGGGGTGTTGGAGTTGTCGATTTTTTCTGTGAACTTCAGCTGTGGTCGAAGAATGTTCTTGGCATGTAGCAGACGGAATATCTGTGTCTTTTCTTTCTTGCGTGTGTCATAGCTCTGCAAATACAATACAAACAAGCACATTAGAGTACCACCACCAGAACAGCAGAAATCTGAAATAAATCTGGGGTTTGTGGGTTCTGCTTACCGGTCGGTTCCAGCTGGAGAAAATTGTCGTTGGGGCCTGAAGACCTGCAGGCAGAATGGGCTGCTGGCTACGGTGCACCCCTGAAGCTTCATCCAGCAATATACCCTGAAAAATAAGAGTACCTGTCACTGCTTCTCAATGGTTGAGTAACCAAACTCCATTTCATTCCAGGAGTGGGATGGGACGTTCCAATCTCGTCCCATTGTTGGAACATGGTGGTGTATACTGTACACACCTGAGGCTACATAAAATTAATAGAGCGCATGCATAAGCTGCAACTGTTAGTGAATCAGTTCATTTGGACTAGCTTGGTCCAAATCAACAATTGAACCACTTCAAAACTGGACACTTTCACCCCCTTCCTGCCCAGACCAAATTTTCAGCTTGCAGCGCTGTCGCACTTTGAATGACAATTGTGTAGTCATGCAACACTGTACCCAAATTTAATTTTTATAATTTTTTTTCCCCATACAAATAGAACTTTCTTCTGGTGGTATTTAAATCACCAATGGGGTTTTTTGTCATAAAAAAAAAAAAAAAGTTTGCTTCTGGTACAACATTTTGCAAATAAATAACTTTTATTCATATATTTAGGTCAAAATGTATTCTGCTAAATTTCTTAGGTGAAAATTACCCAGGCTGGTGTGTATTTATTTAGTCTGTAGAAAGTTACAGAGTCCCCAAACTATGGTGTGTATATATATTAAAATTGATTAATCCTGATGGTCGGTCTCATTTCTTGAGGTCTGAAAATGCCTGGATAGTTCAAACACCTCATCAAATGACTCTGTTTTTGGAAAGTAGACAGTCTGAGGTATTTAGTAAGAGGCATGGAGAGTTTTTTGAAGAGGTAATTTGTCACATTTTTTGGAAAATAAAAAAAATTAAAAAAATGTTTGACTTTTTTTTACATACTGTCACCAGTGCAGTACAGCGTCATCATATAACTGGCGGTGATTAGGGACACTGACTGGTGACAGTATACAAAAAAAAAAAGAAACAACAAATGTTATTTATTTTTTTTACAATTTTTGTTTTTTTTCTTATTACATTTTTTCCCGTTTTTTACATGCTGTGACCAGAGCAATACAGTGTTACCACAGTAACACTATACTACTTTAGGAAGGTCCTGGGAGGACGTCATGGGGTTTATGTACTAAAGCTGGAGAGTCCAAAATCAGACTCCCTTCTGCATAGAAACCAATCAGCTTCCAGGTTTCATTGCCAAAGCTTCATTGAACAAGCTGAGGTTAGAAGCTGATTGGTTTCTATGCAGAAGGGAGTCTGATTTTGGACTCTCCAGCTTTAGTAAATAAACCCCACATGTCTACAGGCCAGGTGGGAGGCAGTTAGAGGTAAATGAAACTTATAGATCAGCTTTAAAAACATGTAAAATACAGAAAAACAAAGTGTCTAAAGAAAATGTATCATGTACCCATCTTTCTACAGATTTTTTTAAAACGAAATGGGAATTTGAGAGAGGAATGGGAAAATTAAAAGCCAGCAACTACAAATATTGTAGCTGCTGACTTTTAAGGCTAGGTTCACATCCATGCAGATTGTGCAATTTCGTGGTGCGTTTTGCGCTTTTGATGCTATTTTTGCCAGTAGGAAAGTATTGACTTTGATACAACTTTGGATGGGTGCGACTTTGATGTGACTTTTTTCTTTTTGTGTTGATAGGAAAGTATAACAGTTTTGTTCATGTAGTGCAACTTTGATGCAACTTTACACTCTTTGGCACTAAAGTAGAATCAAAACACCAATCCAAAGTCACATCAAAGTTGCATTAAAGTCAATACTTTCCTATTGGCAAAAAAAAAAAAAAAAAACACTTGCGTTTTTGGTGCAGGTCCATTGAAGTCTATGACACACACAGTGCAATCAGGCTCAGGCTCGTGATGCGCATGCACAAGCCACAGCCTGCCGTGAGACTTTTCTTACAGCTTCCTGGGCTGTTATCCCAGAAGACTGCGGGCAGACTAAAAAAAAACATCATGCTTATGGAAACTGCTATAAAAAAAAAAAAAAAAAAATGAATGCTTCAAAATTTTTTTTTTTTTTTTTTTTACATTTCCATTTCTGAAGAGGCTTGGGTTAAGAAAATGAGAAGGCGGTAAACGTAATTTTTGGGTGAAAGTCTAATCACTTTAATGTGTATTTCTTATGCAGTTTATTAGTGTATTGGTTTTATTAATATATATGCATATATTAATATATGCACTGAACATTTGTTTTATATCACTATACATCATTTGGGATAACGATTTATACCTCTATTTATGAATTGTATAGGTTTTATTTTATTTTTTTTAATTTGTAGCACTATGTGTGTTATTAATGTATATATTTGGCTATAAAAGTAAGCACCCACCACTCTCTCCAGGATGGCGTCATTAGCATCCACCACCAATTCCATCTTGTTTTCCAGGGCGTTGGCATTACTGCGATCCGGGTGTGACTGCGGCAGCCATGATACTGCATAATCCGGCTCATGCTGCATGAGAAGATCCCAAAGAAAGTAAAGACAACAGGAACAGGGACATTAATGAAGAAGATATGGAGGAAGTTATTGGATGTGCTGTACATTGTTCTTTGTAGTGGTAAAACTAAGCAAAATGAAAAAATGGACAATCTTCATCAAGGCTAAGCTTTCTCAAACAGGAAACCATAGAAACCTGGGGTTCCTCCTGAAGTTGCTAGGGGCACCTTGGGAAGTGGCAAACCGATCTCCCATTTACAATACCAATAATGCAAAATGGCAATTTGCCATGGACCACCAAAGTGGGGGCCGCATGGACCACTTTTATTAAATGGAGCATACACTAGTAGAATTTCACTCAACATTTGTCATTGTAAGAACATCTGTTAATTTTCTAATCATTAGTGGGTTCAAACTGATGTTTGTTTTCAACCAGAGTGATGAGGAAATTTGAAGGAGCAGGATCACATGCAGCTCAATACGTCACTCATACATGTCAGTATACACAGTACAGCACACATCACATGCAGCTCAATACGTCACTCATACATGTCCGTATACACAATGCAGTACACATGACATGCAGCTCAGTACACTGCCCATACAGGTCAGCAAGTGCCTGAGAACTTGTGAATGTGTGAGTAGAAATGCCTCATGGGACATGTAATCCTGGGCAGAAGGAAATGATTTAAAGTGATTTTAAAGACAGAAGGTTTTTACACCTTGGGAAGTGGCAAACCGATCTCCCATTTACAATGCCAATAATGCAAAATGGCAATTTGACCACCAAAGTGGAGGGTCACATGGACCACCAAAGTGGAGGGTCACATGGACCACCAAAGTGTCACATGGACCACCAAAGTGGAGGTCACATGGACCACTTTTATTAAACAGAGCATACACAGTAGAATTTCACTCAACATTTTTCATAGTAAGAACATCTGTTCATTTTCTAGTCATTAGTGGGATCAAACTGATGTTTGTTTTCAACCAGAGTGATGAGGAAATTGAAGGAGCAGGATGTAAACTTTTTTTTTTTATCAAAATTTACAAATTTCTATCACTGTATGCGGTTTTTATTTGGTAAAGTTCATTCATTCCAAAATGAGAACAAAATGAAGTAGTATCTGGCTGCAACATAACAAAATTGAAAAGTAAAGGGGGTCTGAATACTTTGTGAATGCACTGTGAATGGACTTTGCGAATATCACCATTGTATTTCATCACTTAGGAGTTACTGTTACTAATGCACTTGTGTCAATATATGTTGCACCATTAATAGCATGGCAATATTTTGATAATTGCAATAAAATTTAATAGTAAATATATAATTATATAGTCATTTCATAATCAGTACTAAAGATAGTGTTGTTGTATATAGCAGGTGGGTGTTAGAAATGATCTGTTGTGGAGGTCAATATGCAACATTGGCCACATTCTTTTTTTTCTTTAACTGTCTACAACATATAAAGCTCATGTACCACGGGCAGCACGTACAATTAGATTTCTCTGGGGTTCCCTGAAACCTAACAAATTATTTGAAGGGGTCCTCTGGGATAAAAACACGATGAGAAAAACTGACAAAACTTAAAAAAAGAACTCCAATCGAAATTCTGTGCGGTATTTTTTTCTGTGGCCCGCTGTCCAAAAATAAAAATTTCAGAGACAGTCTGATCAAAAGAACAGATTCTCATTAAACCTCCAAGTCTCTCACAGATGCTAATGACGTACCAGTGAAGCAGTCGGTCACCCTGTGTTTCGCAGAAGGAACGGAAACCAGGAAAGCTGCGATAGAAGTCAAATTCATCTCCAGACTGACTGTGGAAGACCGGTAGATGACTTTGTGGTGGTGACGACCTTTCCCAGAGCATACTGCAAGACACAAACCAATAAAAAAACGGAATTTATACATTGTAAACAGCGACAATAGTCCAGGACAGTACATGGCCGTGTCCTGCAGTGATAATAGGGCAGTACAGTGTGATCACAGGCCAGTAGGGCTCAAACAACGAATCAACATATTTCATACGAAAGCATTATTTGTTTACATGTCAGTATACACAGTGCAGCACAGATCACATGCAGCTCAATACGTCACTCATACATGTCAGTATACACAGTGCAGCACACATCACATGCAGTATTTGGGTGAGGGGGGGTGGGGCCTCTGTCAGGCAGTACTGGGGTCCAGGCAGTATTGGGAGGGGGGGCCTCTGTCAGGCAGTGTTGGGGTGAGGGGGGGCCTCTGTCAGGCAGTGTTGGGGTGAGGGGGGGCCTCATGCAGTGTTGGGGTGTCTGTCAGGCAGGGTGAGGGGGGCCTCTGTCAGGCAGTGTTGGGGTGAGGGGGGGCCTCTGTCAGGCAGTGTTGGGGTGCCTCTGTCAGGCAGTGTGGGGTGAGGGGGAGCCTCTGGGGGGTGGAGCCTCTGTCAGGCAGTGTTGGGGTGAGGGGGAGCCTCTGTCAGGCAGTATTGGGGTGAGGGGGGTGGCAGTGTTGGGGTGAGGGGGGGCCTCGGCCTCTGTCAGGCAGTATTGGGGTGAGGGGGAGCCTCTGTCAGGCAGTATTGGGGTGAGGGGAGCCTCTGTCAGGCAGTATTGGGGTGAGGGGGGCCTCTGGCAGGCAGTATGGGGGTGAGGGGCAGTATTGGGGTTTCTGGCAGGCAGTATTGGGGTGAGGGGGGCCTCTCTCAGGCAGTATTGGGGTGAGGGGCCTCTCTCAGGCAGTATTGGGGTGAGGGGGTTTCTGGCAGGCAGTATTGGGGGGGTGAGGTATTGGGGGGGCCTCTCTCAGGCAGTATTGGGGTGAGGGGGTGAGGGGGGGTTCTGTCAGGCAGTATTGGGGTGAGGGGCCTCTCTCAGGCAGTATTGGGGTGAGGGGGCCTCTGGCAGGCAGTATTGGGGTGAGGGGGCCTCTGTCAGGCAGTTTCTGGCAGGCAGTATTGGGGTGAGGGGGGTGAGGGGGTCTCTGGCAGGCAGTATTGGGGTGAATTGGGGTGAAGGGGTCTCTTTCAGACAGGCAGTATGGAGGCCTCACCATTCCCCGATCTCCCCCCATGTATATCTATAAATATCACCAGAAGTAATGTCAGATATGAGGAACCTTCACAAAGCTGTCGGTGTCAGGAAATCCCGGGAACGGCCCCGCTTTCTCCTCCATCCCGCTCGACACACCACGTACGGGCGCCGCCATGATGCCACCGAGCACCAAACGTGTTCATCAAAGTGTGACTAGTCGCCGACCTCTGATGTCACAGGCCTCGCTTCCTGCGGGCGGCCATGTTTGTTGTGGGCAGAGCGGGACTTTTTTTCCCTGTAGGGTGCTGTAGATGGGGGGAGTGTTTGGAGTTATTGCGGCTTTCCTGTCCTGACTGCAGAGATATTCCGCCACCAGACAAGTCCCCTTCTAGGGTGATGTCCATTCTGCTGGTTTTCATCATTTAACATCTTTTAAAACTGACAGAGTTTATTGATAATGGTGGTGGTGATAATGGAGATGATGGTGGAGGTGGTGATAATGGAGGTGATGATGATGATAATGGAGATGATGGTGGAGGTGGTGATAATGGGGATGATGATGCTGGCGGTGATGATGATAATGGAGATGATGATGATGGTGGAGGTGGTGATAATGGAGATGATGATGGTGGCGGTGATGATGATGATAATGGAGATGATGGTGGAGGTGGTGATAATGGAAATGATGATGGTGGCAGTGATGATGATGATGGTTGTGATGATAATGGAGATGATGATGATGGTGGAGATGATGGTTATGGTGATGATGATGGTGGAAAAAAGTGATGATGATAGGATGATAATGGAGATGATGATGGTGGCGGTGATGATGATGGTTGTGATAATGGTGATGATGGTTGATGAGGATGATGGTGGCAGTGATGGTTGTGATGATGATGGGGGTGGATGATGATGATGATGGTGGAGGTGGTGATAATGGAGATGATGATGGTGGCGGTGATGATGATAATGGAGATGATGATGGTGGCAGTGATGATGATAATGGAGATGATGGTGGTGGCGATTATAGTGATGATAATGGAGATGAGATGGTTGTGGTGATGATGATGGTGGGGTGATGGTGGAGGCAGTGATGATGATGATGGTGGAGGGGGTGATAATGGAGATGATGATGGTGTCGGTAAATGATGATAATAGAGATGATGGTGGTGTGCGGTGATGATGATAATGGAGATGGTGGTGGCAGTGGTGATAATGGAGATGATGATGATGGTGGCGGTGATGATGATGATGGTGGTGATGATGATAATGGAGATGATGGTGGAGGTGGTGATAATGGAGATGATGATTGTGGCATTGATGATTGTGGTGATGATGATAATGGAGATGATGGTGGAGGTTTTGGTGATAATGGGAGATGATGATGGGGCAGTGATGGTGATAATGGAGATGATGGTGATAATGGGATTGATGATGGTGGCAGTGATGATGATAATGGAGATGATGATGGTGGGGGTGGTGATGAGAATGGAGATGATGATGATGATGGTGGAGATGATGGTTAATGGGTGATGATGATGGTGGGGGTGATGGTGGAGGCAGTGATGATGATATGATGGAGATAATGATTGGTTGGTGGAGGTGGGAGATTGATGATGGTGGGAGTGATGATGATAATGGAGATGATGATGGTGGCGGTGGTGATGATAATGGTGATGATGGTGGTGATGAAAAATGGAGATGATGATGATAGTGGCGGTGATGGTTGTGATGATGATGGTGGGGTGATGGTGGAGGCAGTGATGATGATATGGAGATGATGATGATGATGGAGATGATGATGGTGGCGATGAGGGTGATGATGATGGTGGGGTATAATGGTGGTGGCAGTGATGATGATAATGGAGAGATGATGATGGTTGTGGTGGTGATGATGATGGTGGTTGGCAACGGTGATGATGATAGTGGGGGTGATGGTGGAGGCAGTGATGATGATAATGGAGATGATGATGGTGGTGGTGGGTGGTGATGATAATGGAGATGATGGTGGAGGGGTGATGAATGGATGATGATGATGTTTGTGATAATGGTGATGATGATGATGATGGCGGTAATGGTTGTGATGATGGTGGATATGATGATGGTTTGAGATGATTGGTGGGCGATAATGTGAGATGATGATGGTGGGATAAATGTGATGGTTGATGATAATGGAGATGATGGTGGAGGTGGTGATAATGGAGATGATGATGATGATAATGGAGATGATGATGGTGGGTGATGATGATAATGGAGATGATGGTTGTGATGATGGTGGTGGCGGTGGTGATAATGGAGGATGTTGGGGTGATGGTTGTGGTGATGATGATGGTGGGGTGATGGTGGAGGCAGTGATGATGATGATGGTGGAGGTGGTGATAATGGAGATGATGTTGGTGATGATGATGATGATGGTGGTTGGTGTGGTGGTTAATGATGATGATGATGGTGGAGGTAATGGGGTGATAATGGAGATGATGATGGGGTGTGCAGTGATGATGATGATAATGGTGGGATGATGGTGTTGTGTGATGATGGTGGTGGTGATAATGGAGATGATGATGATGGTGGGGTGGCGGTGATGGTTGTGATGATGATGGTGGGGTGATGGTGGAGGCAGTGATGATGATAATGGAGATGGAGATGATGATGGAGGTGGGAGATGAGGGTGATGATGATGGTGGGGTAATGGTGGTGGCAGTGATGATGATGATGATGATGATGATTGTTTGTGGTGGTGATGATGATGGTGGTGGCAACGGTGATGATGTTAATTTCCACGCTGCATTGGTAAGTAAATGCCCAACACCAGAGCTGGTAGTAGACTGTGAACCTGGACCATCTTACTTATAATTCCTGTGTAGAGATATTCACCCTGAGCTCATCACAGAGGACAAGGGGGCACTCTTTACGTCTGGAGGAAAATAAATTTAATCTCCAAACACAGAAAGGTTTCTTTACAGTGAGAGCTGTGAAAATGTGGAATAGACTCCCTCAAGAGTTGGTTCTGGCCAGCTCAGTGGATTGCTTTAAAAAAGTCCTGGATTCTTTCTTAGATACACAGAATATAACTGGATACTAACATTTATAAGTTGATCCAGGGAATATCCGATTGCCGCTCGGAGGATCAGGAAGGAATTTTTTTCTCTGCAGGAGCAAATTGGACCATGGTTTGCTGGGTTTGTTTGCCTTCCTCTAGATCAACCGTGGGTATAGGATCAAAACTTTTCTTTTTATGGTTGAACTGGATATACTTTTGTCTTTTTTCAGCCAGACTAACTATGTCACTAAATGTCTTATCAGATAGTGTATATTATAATCCCATAGCAGTAAAGGAATCTAAAAGGCACAGGGTACAAGGCAAGGCCCCAGATAACTCTTAAGACCCACATAGCTGATGGCTGGAGATGACCACAGTCAATGCAGGCAGAGAGGAGGAGATGTTTTCTTGACAACATATGATACAAAAGAGTGCGCTCAACACTCCATCCAGGAGGATGACATCAGTGTTCAGTACCACAGCATTAATCCTATGGTGTAAGCCATTGAGAGTAGGTGAAACTGAAGAGTATCCAGAATGACCAGCCCACTCACAAAGCAAGTGTTTGGAGACAGGTCAATGGAAACCAAAAACGTTTACCAGATCAGCATATGGAAAGTACCCTACCTGGAGCCCAATGCCTGAAGGTCACTTCCAGGCTAGTCCTGCAAAGTCCAGGCCCACAGGGTCTAAATGTGGTATTCCAAAACTAAAACACAGACTGAGGACATCCATGCCAGAGCTGCTTCTGAGACACCAGCTCTAGTAGCAGGATGTAAAGAAAAGTCTGAAAGAAAAAAAAAAAAAAGGTGCTAATTAGTATCTTAGACAGCAAAGCTGAAGAAATGACATCCTTCCTGCTAGGACACTAGCAAGATATTGAGCCATGAAGGAAGTAGGAAGGGTTATACTGCACTGTTCTACAAGTCTTTTTGTTTGCCAGTATCCAAGCCTCACGCAGGTAGCAGTTTAACCCAAAGTTGAATGAATTTGTGTCCCTCAGTGGACGAGAATAAAAATGTTTTTCACTTTTTTTTAACCCTTTGCTCTGTATTGGTGCTGTTGATCTCTTGTAGCATTCTTTCAGCCACTTCCTGGCTACAAGCACTCCAGCGATGGCTGAATGGTATTTTTCAGTGTAGCATTACTGATGGTACACAACTGTGGACTATGCTGATAGGGGTGATATGGTGCAGCGTTCTGTGCTTCGATGAGGATAGGTTTGTTATGTGACCGCCGTGCCTTTCCACCTCATCTAACCAGAGAACCATTTGTATTTGTTGAAAACACAAAGAGCGTCCTCCTGGGTTCACTATGCGGCACGGCAGCCGCTCGGCCCAGGATCCAGAAGCTAGCAGAAGTGTCTACTACAGGGATTTCCATATTCCACAGGAATAACTAGGTGTGACATATACAGGTGAAACTCAAAAAATTAGAATGTCATGCAAAAGTTCATTTATTTCAGTAATGCAACTTAAAAGGTGAAACTAATATATGAGATAGACTCATTACATGCAAAGCAAGATAGTTCAAGGCTGTAATTTGTCATAATTGTGATGATTATGGCTTACAGCTCATGAAAACCCCAAATCCACAATCTCAGAAAATGAGAATATTGTAAAAAGGTACAATATTCTCGGCTCAAAGTGTCCCACTCTAATCAGCTAATTAAGCCATAACACCTGCAAAGGGTTCCTGAGCCTTTAAATGGTCTCTTAGTCTGGTTCAGTAGGAATCACAATCATGGGAGAGACTGCTGACCTGACAGTTGTGCAGAAAACCATCATTGACACCCTCCATAAGGAGGGAAAGATCAAAAGGTAATTGCAAAAGAAGTTGGATGTTCCCAAAGTGCTGTATCAAAGCACATTAATAGAAAGTTATGTGGAAGGGGAAAGTGTGGAAGAAAAAGGTGCACAAGCAGCAGGGATGACCGCAGCCTGGAGAGGATTGTCAGGAAAAGGCCATTCAAAAGTGTTGGGGACTTTCAAAAGGAGTGGACTGAGGCTGGAGTCAGTGCATCAAGAGCCACCACACACAGACGGATCCTGGACATGGGCTTCAAATGTCGTATTCCTCTTGTCAAGCTGCTCCTGAACAACAAACAACGTTAGAAGCGTCTTACCTGGGCTAAA